GAGGGGGCTGCGCTCCCCCGCCGCTGCCGCCCCGTCGGCATCTCCCCCCTTCCCCCCGCCTTTTTGGTTTTTTTTAACGACCCGACGGGGATCCGCGGGGGCTCCGGGTCCCCGAGTCCGCGGCACGGATGTGGGTCCGTGGAGGAAAGATGCAGCGCAGAGCCCGCTCCCTCTGCTCCTTGGAGGAGGCGGGGAGAGAGCGCGCTGCCGCACGCTGTCAGAGTACCGCGGTGGAAGAGAAACGCGTATGAGAAGTGACAAGCATCGGCTAAACACGGGTCAGCAGCACAGTCCAGGAACGCTCCGGCAGAGCACATCATTTCTCAGAGGGGTTTTAAGAGCATGATTGAAGGAGGCCGTCGACTCTACCCCTGTCAAACTTTTTTTTTTTTTTTTTTTAAGAGAAGGTAGAGGAAGGGAAGAAGAAAAAAGAAAAAGTCTCTTTCCTGCTTCGCCTTCTAGACAAGGTACATTAACCAGATTATGGGAGAGAAGAAGGATCTCTCCCCTCTGACAGTCCCCAGTCGGATCACCTGCAGCCACAGACCAGCTCCCATCCAGCCCGCCAAAGCAGGGTGGGGATGGCTCAGGTGGGCAGGGGAAAGTAGGAGGCTGCAACAGTCGAATTGCTTGTAGAGAAGTAAATATCGGTACCAGAGAGATCTTGCATTTAGGATATGCCCAGGAACTGTCTGGAGAGACGAACTGACATCACACACAGACAGCAGATTACGACTGAAACAACAAAAAAAGTTTTTTTTAAAATCAAAGCACTCTGCTCCCTTGACTTCCTGCACCGAAGGCACAGTTAGCAACTACCCTCTAGCGGGTGGGAGAAGACAGAAAGCAATTCAAAATACCTTCCTGGAATGACCTTCAGCAGCAATATACACAGATGGGCCTCAAGATGTGACAGCCCTTCCAGTCTCCTCTGTTTCCAGCTTCCTTCTGTGAAAGCTTATTATCACGAGATCCCAATCGATCAAAAGCAAGAGGCTATAAATGTGCAACAAGGACAAAGCTTAACCTTTCCTGTGTTCACTGTGTTTCTTTGCGCAACTGAGAATTTCCAGGCAAGTGAAAAAGAACATTTCAATTATACATAATATGAGGGCCTTTCAAAATAGGAGAAAATCGGGAGCACAGCCAAAAGTTGTACATTAAATTAAAAAATCGATACATCTGTTTGCATCCTCATAACTCGGCAAAACCTCCCACTCAGATTCCTACCCTGCCCACACTGGAGGAACCCTTGGTCAGCCCCAGCACAAATATCTGTGGATATTATTTCTTTTAACTCCAGGTGCCCCTGGCAGTACCTGAATGTTGCATTTTACTTCTACTGAATTGAGCTACAGCACCCCTTTAGAGCTGGGGAGCGGGGGGTGGAGGGGGGGTGTTGAGTGCAGGAGCTGCAGAGCTGATGTGCATCCGCATTAATTCACAAACTATGCAAATTTATTCAATGGACTATTGCACACAGTCTACAATGCAAGTATTCACAATACACTGTTTACCTTGGTTTTTTTAGTGTTTTTTTCTTGATTGCTAACTGTAGAAATCCCCATTTCCCACCTAGTCACCATAAAATTGTCACCCAGACCTCCCCCACCCCAAACTTGCCCTAGACTCCTCTTCTGCCAAGTTATGATGTCATCTATAACACATGAAACAGTTTTTACTATGCTGTAATGATGCACAGTCATTCTAAACACCCTGAACCAATGCAAAAATACCTATTAAAGTCACGGGAAAGACTCCTAAATTTCCCTTAACATTGGCCTGCAGGAAAGATAAATCCATCTGTGCTGAAAGGCTAGGGCAGATGGGTGTTGGTGTCCCAGGTGCACACACACGTAAAACACATAGACGCTACTCACCTGGCTGTGACTGGGTTTGCAATGAAGAAAGCACAGAATTTCAGGCCCACGATCCTCCTGCTGCACA